GATTGTTTCTTGTGAGGAATTTGTTTTGTTTTTTTTATAAAATGTTTACGTTTCTAACTGGTATATTCCAAATACCAATGAACAAAGGGTTAACTCATACCATAATCCTAAACTGAATTGATTTCAAGAATACAACACATAAACAAAGCTCCATCTCCATTCTGGGGTGAGAACGTTTGTTTCTTTAAACATATGTTTTGTACAATAAGAACTTATGCACAAATATTACACATCTGTACACCTGTCATCTCACAGCATCAACACACACGCACACATGCATGCACACACGCACACACACACACACACAGAGTAACTCTGTGAAACCACGACACATCTGGTCTGATACAATGTGAAGTTACACAGTCGCCTTCTATCAGAGACTGCCACAGCTACAGCTTGCTACAGACTTGAGATGGCCATAGTGCACTCTAAACAGAGACTGCTGCAGCTACAGCTTGCTACAGACTTGAGATGGCCATAGTGCACTCTAAACAGAGACTCATGATATTGAATGAGCCAAGATCTTTGGTAAAAACAAAACTAAACCCTACGTTACAGGATTACACTTTGGTCAGAAAAATACCACTGAATGAAAATAGGGGAATATCTATTGATATATTATATATAGGGCACTGCAGCAATGACCTGTTGCAATGTGACATGAGCTATTATGGACAGCTACTACTTACAGCTACTGATGACTACCTGCAGCTACATCAAACACTCTGTGATGACGCTCCCTGCAACTAGTGTCTAAAACATGAGCATGATTTTCCAGAACGAAACTTTACCACTTAAGGAGGAAAAGATAACATGGGAGGTATCAACTCCTTGCATGAATTTCGTTTGATGAGGCCATGTTGAGTTTGGTGATACTGTGATGTTGGTGCAGGGAAAGCCATGATGAATTAATTGTATTTTCAGCCCAATCCATCTCACCACCTGTCACCCTACCTCTTAATTGTCCCCAATTCCCAAAATGAAGAAATGTCTCCAGTGTTCGGATATTTTTCTTTTAGTATACCATACATACAGTACTACCAAAGATTCTTGTTTCACATGAATATCATTCATAAACAGAAAATGTACACAGATGTCTTAAACAGATTGCTAAAAAAAAATATAGATATAAAAATAAATGTCCCAGCCCCACGTTTTAACAATCTGACAGAACCACACTGATATCATGTGGAAGTAGGCTGTCATAGTGTGCAGGTTTAATCAGGTCACAATCAAAAGAAATTTCTATCAGTGAAGAATACTTTATGTTGAAAGCAGTAAATTTAAATACACGTATGTAAATATTTATGATATATATTCTTCCTGAATTTCAACTGTTTCTTAAAGAAATTTCATCATAAATATTTACCATGTGAGCTGAAGTCAAAATGGAAATAATATATATTTGTGCAGTAGGAAAATAACCTTGGTCTGTGTCAGCTGATGACAAACACTTAAACATTCTTGTAAGTTGACATTTCTCATCATCATCCATATGTTCAGTCGGGAATCAACTATCACCTCCTTTGCTGGACTTGGTGATTCTGTTCACACTTACATAAATTCCATCCCAGATGTTAACTTGCAAGCTGTCACAAGATTAATGACCAGCACAGCTGGTGATCGGGACACACAGCAGGGGGACCCTGTACAACTTCCTCGGCCAGCATTGAATACCTGTATATAACTACTGCTAGTCCAATGTAGTCTCAAACAAAATAAACTTTCATCGACTAAAACACTACCATAGTATTTTTTATGAAATCAACACTATTTCCTTTCCTCCAGATGAAGACTGCCTCCAAAGGACTAACAACTGGACAATGCGACATCCCTATAATCTCCGTACTGTGGACGTTTAGTTGTGAATGACAACATATATAATACACAGCAAAATATGTACAGCTCATAAGATAACCTGGCAGCTTACTATCATAATGATTTAAACAGCTTTCTTCTCACAATACAATAAGAAAATGAAATACTCCAAAATAATATATTTTCACATATGAGAGAGTTGAAGCATCCATGCACTTTTTAAGGGTGTGTTTGAGAGACACCATGCCTACATGGAAGTAGAACCCAGCTCAGAAGCCTTCAGCAGCCCAACACTGGGCCAACTCAACTATTTCACTAATCAAAATGAGGGGCAAGCCAGCAAAGCTGGGTATCAATGCTTTCCTAATGCAGTTTTTCCTATTTTGTCACAACATGACAGCTACAAAAGTGCCAATATTCAGTGAAAATGTCATTAGATTCACAGCCATACAAACAAGTTATCCCCAAAATGATTGCTTAAATAGTCAAAATTCCAATCCTGGAGACTAGTGCAATTCTGTTACTAATCACGTGACATGCACCACACTATCCACATACACACTGCTTGGTTCCCATTCTCTACCAGTAACCAGCTGGTAAACAGGGGCTAGTGACTATCTATATATATTGTTCTACACTTATCTATACTAAGATGGCACCTTGACATATTTAACGGTGGATTCATGTATGTATCTACATCGCTTGAATATAGTGACGGAGGTCACTTCGTCCTTCAGTATGTCCTACATCATGTGATAAAAAACCCAGCACTGCCCCTTAACCCCAAACCAATCATAAAATGTCTGAAAGGATATTTTAAAGTTCTGGAAAACAGCCTTGGAAATGGTACACCTGTACATCACCGGCTTGCAACGTCTCTGTCACAGGACACACAACTAATGGTATAAACACTGGTATAACACCATGAACACCAAAAGTCTCATACCATGAACACCAAACGATTCATCACATGAACACCAATAGTTATCACATATCGGTAATGGTCAGAAAATAAGATATATGATGACATTTACCCAGGCCCCTGATTTCTCGAAACAAACTTAAGTCTGAGTTTTGACTTAAGTTAGAGTTTATACTCAAATATGAGAAAACGCATTTCCCAGAATGAAATAAAACCGATATTAAACTCAAACATAGTAGACAATTTGTGTTTGGTGAATAGAATAATTAAGTTGTTTGGGCTTTTATATTTAAAAAATGCAGCAGAGATAAAAATGCAACTGTTTCAAATTGTCAAACTCAGTTTGAAATTTGAGTAAAAACTTACGTATGATTCGCGATATCGGGGCCAGATGTACTTTTCATCATGATGGATCCACAGTGGCAAAATAAGTTGGTGAAACGTGTTTGTTCTTGTAAATAATGATGTTTCAGTACAAAGCATTGGAATATCACAGTACTTCTCTCTAGTACATCTTGCAACCATCAATCTTTGCAGTCAATATTTCTTCAAAACTAAATGTGAATTAATGTTGAAAATCACAACATTTCCTACCATAACAACTGCAATATATACAAACAATATCCTTTAAATTTTTTACCCTCATTTCAAATCATGTATTTTGACATAACATGAGTTACTCCTTGTCCCTTGCCCGAACAAAGTCACACATGGGATAATAAAATATCAGTTTGTTTCTAAAACAATGACACAACAAAACACAACAGCTGCTGTTTTCCTTTCAACAACAGTAAAACTGTTATTCACTGAATATCAAGAACAGCATGACCAATTTTTGTTATTTTACCAAATATTAAAAATACCCCTGAAACACAATAAAGACCTTTCGGTTGTCCCCCAAACTTCAGAGATCAACCCTTTGAGCAAAATACCTAACATCTAATATCTTCAGCAAAATTGTGTTTTGAAAAATTATAAAAACTTGTAAAAAGGAGTGTTCACTGTTTGGTATGTAATCATACAAAATATACCAGAACCGCGGTATCTACCAGAACCCCAGTATCTACCAGGAACCCAGCATCTACCAGAACCCCAGTATCTACCAGGAACCCAGCATCTACCAGAACCCCAGTATCTACCAGGAACCCAGCATCTACCAGAACCCCAGTATCTACCAGGAACCCAGCATCTACCAGAACCCCAGCATCTACCAGGAACCCAGCATCTACCAGAACCCCAGCATCTACCAGGAGCCCAGCATCTACCAGAACCCCAGTATCTACCAGGGACCCAGCATCTACCAGAACCCCAGCCCCAGCATCTACCGAACCCCAGCATCTACCAGAACCCCAGCCCCAGCATCTACCGAACCCCAGCATGTACCAGGAACCCAGCATTTACCAGAACCCAGCCCCAGCTTCTACCGAACCCCAGCATCTACCAGAACCCCAGCATCTACCAGAACCCCAGCATCTACCAGGAACCCAGCATCTACCATTATTTAACAGGAATCCAATATCTACCAGTCTCAGTCATCAGTGAGAGGTGACTGGTACAACACTCTTTTGTAACCATGATGACAAACTACAGAGCAGCCAGACATGTGAATACTAATGATTCACATCCATGGTAGGACTGAGATCTATCTTCAGTAGATGTTTGTATGACATGTCTATACTCCCTTTCTATCAGTACCATAGAGGAAGAGGGTGAAACAGACTGAACAACAAGAACAAGGCCATACTGACTTGATGATTTACACCATGTGAAGACATGACCTTGGTCACCTCACACATGACATCTCTGACATGGCATAATGTTCGACATGACACATCATCCATAACACACTTGCCATATTAGCAAGGACATGTCACATCAGTCATGACATCCTGAAACTGACACTGAGGGGCATGCAGACATGACAGTACATGCACACACAAAATCTGTCATGACACGCCAAACATGCCTCGGTACACCTCACATGACATCATGCTGGACATGACAACTCACACATTACATGTTGGGAATGATGCTTCATATATAACATTGAGCATGACACATTATATATGACATTACGTAGGACATGACACTGTGATGGATATGACACATGACATTTTGGGCATGACACATGGCATGTTAGACATGACTCATCACACATGACACATCAAATATGATACCATATGACAAGAGTATTGTACATTTCAGACACACTCAAAATCTGCAAACAGACAGACAGAGTCCCACATATCTAATTTTGTTGTTGATGTTATCTAGTAACCACTGGTGTTTGTATCAGGGAACCAGGAGAGAGAGAGAAAGGAGGACGGGTTGGGGGCGCATGTTGTCCTCATGTTGAGGTGGGGCATCAAGGTGTTGTGCTTACCCCACAAAAAGCCACTGAAGTTTGGTAGACTATCAGTTTTACCTGAACTCATGACGATGCATACTATAGAATGATCCCTTAAGGTATGATCTCTCCCAACCCACGATGAGATGGTCATAGCAGTCTGGTCTTCCTGTGACCTGCTTACAACACTCCATTCAAGCCTTATTTACACTATGATAACTCTACCGAACACAGAACAATCTGTATTAGAACTTGGATTCTTTGGGTGTTAATGTAAATGGTGTAGCATGTTCACTGATGATCAATCTCACAGGTGAGGTAACACGAAATCACTGAGGCAACATTTACACCATTGTCAAATATTCCTGATTGAGTTATGATTTGTATTTATGCTTCATAAACTTCATTCTTTTCTATGTCATCAATAAATATGATAAATTCCCGAAATATGCATCATAAATCAAAAACATATTCCAATATCAGCTTGTTTTCACTGCAGCTTTAACTAAGTCTAAATGTGAACTAATGACAACCACGAGTGTAGCATTAAGGTATACTGCTGGATGTTCTTTATGTAGGAAGCTTTCAACACTCTTGTCATTTTGAAAACAAAAAGAAAGTACAAAAACTCTTTATATTTCTGTATTGTGTAGAGATGTAGACCCCCAGTCCACACAGGTTTACTTTTTGGAAAATATACACTAAACATGAGAAAATATGGTAATTTGAACAATTTTTCCTTTACTGAGGAAGAATATTATTATGAATCAGTAAGTATTGGGTTTAATGCTGTTCCGAACACCATTCTAAAACCAGCATGTCTGCTTTGTGTAGGAAGAAAACCTACAGCTTGAGGTATCAGGGATTCATATCAAAGTGAATCTGTGATTCTAACTACCATCAGCGGATACTGACATACCAAAGGGACTCAACTCTGCACATCAACACTACCTGCACCACAGTTAACCTGAAATAACGTTTTCACACAAATAAAAAAATGATATTGGCAGAAATAATTCTTTCACATGATTAAGTAAGAATAACACAATGATATATATTAACTCCCCCAAATGACTCAGTGAGACTAATGGAAGCAATATTAAATTCCTCTGGATGTCTTAGTGGCACAAATAGAAGGAGATATTTTAACACCTCAAAATGACTTAGCAAGACTAAAACAAAGGAGGAGCTATCATCTTCAATAATTATACCCTACAACACAGGTTGTGTTTCTCAATGTTTATGTCCCAGTGCTAACACCACTGGAATCAAAGAGCCTGCCACCAGAGCTAATAGCTCGATTTTCCTGAAGCCCTTGTGCTCCCTGACAATGACAGTTCCATCGGGGGCAGTCGTCCGAGTATGTTCTGTTTGTATTTCTGGCAACACATGGACAGTTGCCACATATAAAAATGTCCCTGCGCTAAACAGCATGGCAATCCCTGTCGTGTGCATGTCTGACAGCTTCTCCTTACTTTGCTGAAAAGAAAAACAGAAAGTGGTGACTTGAAAGGTATCGGTCAACATTATTATCCTTCTCAGCATCATAAGGAAAATGTCCAGATAATTCTCTTAGTGGTTATTACCCTGTAGGTGATTAACGGGATCAGGTGGTCAGGCTCACTGACTTGGTTGACACATGTCATTGTATCCCATTTGTGTAGATCGATGCTCATGCTGTTGATGACTGGACTGTCTGGTCCAGACTCAATTATTTACAGACAGCAGCCATATAGCTGGAATATTGCTGAGTGTGGTGTAAAACAACAAACCAAAATTTTACTCCGTAACACACATCTGACATGATACAGACAGGCAAACAGTGCAATAAAGCCTGATAAGTTACTAAGTTCTACACCGCCCCAGACAGGCGTTCCAACACAATCTGGAAGAGTTCTTCACGTTCTCACACTCTCCATGCCACACTGACCACAGAGCTCTGTATCAAGCAGTGTATGGTCACGGCGTAAGATGGTGGCTTCGGGTTTTTTTTGTTAAAGATTTCAGTTTTATCACGACATGTCTACAAGATGATGAGGCAAAACCTAGACTGATGCTGGTGTGCAACATTTTCCACTTTACAAGATACATTACAAGTCTATATCTGGGATTTCAACTAACAATGATCCTAAGGAATGAAACTTTGCACAGTGATTTGCATCACCTCAGAAACGTTACTGTTGTTCCCCTTGAACATCATCACTCTAACCACAAACAGCATCACAAATTCACATCTGGATACACTCCGGATTCTACTATGATTCCATCTGGGGCAGTCATCCTTCCTCCAGTTTTGTTTGTCCATAAAACAATCACCAATATTTCAGCAATAAAATCAGAAAAAGCATAAAGGTTAATGTTACCTGACTTAGACCGAAGAATGTTATAACACACAACAGGGGTGCTGCTACAGAGAAGGCCAGCAGATGGCGCCGGATACGTGGTCTGTCGGAGTTCTCGTGAAGGAGGAAAGACACAAGACCAAATGCAGCTGGAGCCTGCAAACCAGAAACAGATCCATGAGTAGAGACAAGGTAAACTTTCAGCTGTCCTCTGCGAAATCTTATTGAGGGCTACTTACGTCATTATCAAGTTACTACCGATAGATTGATTGATGCTACTAGGGTAGCAAAGATATATAGCACTGTGTAAACATGAGAAGCTGACGAGAAGCCTTTCTAATTGATTAGTATGATTAGCTGACTCAATGTCTGTTGGCAAGATTAGCTGACTGGATGCCTATTGACACGATAAGCTGACTGGATGCCTATTGATGCGATAAGCTGACTGGATGCCTATTGACGCGATAAGCTGACTGGATGCCTATTGATGCGATAAGCTGACTGGATGCCTATTGACGCGATAAGCTGACTGGATGCCTATTGACGCGATTAGCTGACTGGATGCCTATTGACATGATTAGCTGACTGGATGCCTATTGACGTGATAAGCTGACTGGATGTCTATTGACGCGATAAGCTGACTGGATGCCTATTGACGCGATAAGCTGACTGGATGCCTATTGACGCGATTAGCTGACTGGATGCCTATTGACATGATTAGCTGACTGGATGCCTATTGACGTGATAAGCTGACTGGATGTCTATTGACGCGATAAGCTGACTGGATGCCTATTGACGCGATAAGCTGACTGGATGCGTAGGCATGATTAGCTGAATAGATTCCTAGTAAAAGGCCAGCATGCAGTTTAAATCCCACTATGGAGAATACTCAGGTGAAAAAATAACATATTCAGGATTGTTTATCAGAGCGAACAGTAACACGCAGTTTGGTAACACAGCCTGACAACCAAACCCAGCTTGTTCATCAGTGTCCACATTCACAACAATGTCACATTTGGTGTCGGACAACTTCATGCATTCTCACCTTGTGGAGCATGATGGCGATGAAGACGATCATGGTGATGTGAGCTTCAGCCAGGGTAATGGCAGCTCCAAGGGCTACTCCATCAGCTGGGGAGGGATAGGTCAGACTTCAAACATCATAGACTCACAAGTCACAGCACCAAGTAGATATCTTTTAAAAAGGCTTGTATGTTTATCAAAGGAAATAAATCCTCCTTGATTGTTCATAGGCAAGTTTTGTGCTTGAGACTCTTAGAAAGTAGGGATATGCTATATCTAGACCCCTATCTTCATGTCCTGTTGCACCCCTCTAATACCTATCACTCTCGCCTGATTGTAGACGCTCAGTCGTAAAGAAAGGTCTGTCAGATACTGAATTAGATTTATATGCAAATGAAATGTATCAGTGAGTGAAAACCAAAGCATATTCACAGCTACTTGTTGCTTCAACAAATGAAATGTATCAGTGAGTGAAAACCAAAGCATATTCACAGCTACTTGTTGCTTCAATAAATGAAATGTATCAGTGAGTGAAAACCAAAGCATATTCACAGCTACTTGTTGCTTCAACAAATGCAATACTTTGCTGCATCATACATATTTGTCAAATCTCAGTTATATTCTACTTTGCTCCTCTCTTCTTGTCGTTGCAATATTGAAATGACATGTTGTAAATACTGTGAGTTGGAGAGTTGAAGTTGGACATATTGCAACCGGCTGATTTCACTAACATGAATTAAGTATGCTGAAAACAAGCGACAAGAGCAGTGGGTGAGGGTAGTGGTGTTACCTGCTGCGTGGACGACCAAGCCTACGGTTGCTGTGATCTTGTTCCGGTTCTGAATCTGGCCCTGACCAGCCTCAGCATCTGACAAAGAAAATACAATGTACATGTCATGCTTCAGCTTAAAACAGGTAGGCAGTTTGTTCTAGTCTGCGTCAATAAAGGGAAATTACTGCTGACTTTGTCATGAGTTCTCCGTACTGTCTCATGTCGTACTGCCTTGTCACAAAATCTGGCTGGGAATACCCACACACAATGGTAACATGCCACATATTTCACATTTTGTCTTGTTTGTCTGAGCATGACACAAGTCCAGCAATGTACCATTTGTCTACCATAGACGAGTGAAATTGTGAGTTATCCCATCAGGCCCCGATTTTCTCGAAACAAACTTAAGTTTTTACTCAAATTTCAATCTGAGTTTGACAATTTGAAACAGCTGAATTTTTAACTCAACTGCATTTTTTAAATAAAAATCTATCCATCAAACTCAAATTGTCTGCTAAATTTGAGTTTAATATTGATTTCAGTTTATTCTGGGAAGTGCACTGAAGTGCCTGTCTGGTCTACCAGCAACATGCAATGTGAAACACACATACCTGATGCTCCATAAATGTGTGAGCCTCCTATCTGATCTACCAGCAACATGCAATGTGAAACACACATACCTGATGCTCCATACATGTGTGAGCCTCCTATCTGATCTACCAGCTACATGCAATGTGAAACACACATACCTGATGCTCCATACATGTGTGAGCCTCCTATCTGATCTACCAGCAACATGCAATGTGAAACACACATACCTGATGCTCCATACATGTGTGAGCCTCCTATCTGGTCTACCAGCAACATGCAATGTGAAACACACATACCTGATGCTCCATGCATGTGTGAGCCTCCTATCTGGTCTACCAGCTACATGCAATGTGAAACACACATACCTGATGCTCCATACATGTGTGAGCCTCCTATCTGGTCTACCAGCAACATGCAATGTGAAACACACATACCTGATGCTCCATACATGTGTGAGCCTCCTATCTGGTCTACCAGCAACATGCAATGTGAAACACACATACCTGATGCTCCATACATGTGTGAGCCTCCTATCTGGTCTACCAGCAACATGCAATGTGAAACACACATACCTGATGCTCCATACATGTGTGAGCCTCCTATCTGGTCTACCAGCAACATGCAATGTGAAACACACATACCTGATGCTCCATACATGTGTGAGCCTCCTATCTGGTCTACCAGCTACATGCAATGTGAAACACACATACCTGATGCTCCATACATGTGTGAGCCTCCTATCTGGTCTACCAGCAACATGCAATGTGAAACACACATACCTGATGCTCCATACATGTGTGAGCCTCCTATCTGGTCTACCAGCAACATGCAATGTGAAACGCACATACCTGATGCTCCATACATGTGTGAGCCTCCTATCTGGTCTACCAGCTACATGCAATGTGAAACACACATACCTGATGCTCCATACATGTGTGAGCCTCCTATCTGGTCTACCAGCTACATGCAATGTGAAACACACATACCTGATGCTCCATACATGTGTGAGCCTCCTATCTGGTCTACCAGCTACATGCAATGTGAAACACACATACCTGATGCTCCATAAATGTGTGAGCCTCCTATCTGGTCTACCAGCAACATGCAATGTGAAACACACATACCTGATGCTCCATGCATGTGTGAGCCTCCTATCTGGTCTACCAGCTACATGCAATGTGAAACACACATACCTGATGCTCCATACATGTGTGAGCCTCCTATCTGGTCTACCAGCTACATGCAATGTGAAACACACATACCTGATGCTCCATAAATGTGTGAGCCTCCTATCTGGTCTACCAGCAACATGCAATGTGAAACACACATACCTGATGCTCCATGCATGTGTGAGCCTCCTATCTGGTCTACCAGCAACATGAAAATGAAGCCGGTCACCAGACTTATGCCGATCCTGGAATGTTCCTCTGACATGTCATGCTTGTGGTCATGATGATGGTCATGTCCCCCTTCCCCTTCACTGGGGTGGTGCTCCTTGTGGGCGTCGGCTGCCTCAATGGCTTTCGCCTCATTGTGAGCATGTAGGTGGGGTTCTGAAAGGATGACATGTAACGGTTTAGCTGATATATTGCTACATCCTCTGAAGGATGAAATGAAAGATGATGCTTCATGAAGTTGAGAGGAATTACAGCTTGTCTGTCCTGGATGAATGAATGAATGGTGTAAGCCCCAAACCTTGTGAGTGACTCATTCATCAGTGATAGAATAGTCATAATTCCTTGTATCTCTTGCGTTAGGTAATGATACTCACGACCATACACAGAGATCTCTCTGAAATACACATAGTGTTCCCAAGAAGTCAAACCAAACAATTGTCAACAGTGACATCATTTATTGTGGAACATGACCTATCAGAAATGACAATAGCTAAAATTCCAACCTGCAAATATTGGAATGTTACTGTGGTCACCCTTTCATTATGCCCCTGGGTATAATATATACTGAGGGAAAAAAATAAGCGATCACATGAAAGCACAAGTGTTCCCTTATTTTTTCCAGGTTTCTTCACAAGCTTTGTATCACATAGAAACCTGGAAAAAAATAAAGGAACACTATTCCTTTCATGTGATCCCTTATTTTCCCTCAGTATATGATATCAATAATGCAAGTTTTCATTTATCAAACGGTATCATGCTTCTTATACCAGCTAATAAGACCAGGATTTCTAGACTGGTGTTCCATGGATACAAAGTGGCCTCATGTGGCTGAACATGCTGAATTAACAGGGCATCGAAGGTATAGATGTCAACTTCTTTATTACAAGAAACACAAGGTTTTGAAGTTTATGTATATGCTAACTACTTCATAAGGTAAATATATTCAAAAACATTGAAGTCCTTACCTACAAGAAATCCACATCTAAATGTTCTCCCTGATGTGCCTCACTTGTAAACAACATTCAAAGACAGCCATATTAACTGCTTTTACAGCACTTCCCATTTTACAAGCCAATAAAATCTGAATTTGTTAGCATATTTATTTAACAAAACAACACACTCCCTGAACTATGAAGTAAAGATGTTCCGGTGTGACACTCGGTTATCCAGAGTATAATACCTCAACTCAATAAGGACAAATACCCTGGACCTAATCACCAATGTAGGTTCAGTATAGAATCTGATCACATACATACCTCACTAATAACAGTTGTCTAATCAGTCAACCATAAGCAGATGAAGTTTGCAAAGTTACTCAAATGAGAGACAACATGGTGATGTCACATCCTAATGAATATGGTTTCCGAGTGATCATCATGAACTGATTGACATATAATACCCTTGATATTGTATCGCATGCATTAACTGACCTCCTGATGTGTACATGGCGTGGACCCCCTCAGGGATGATGACCGCCAGGGCTGTCCCCACTAGCAGCCCCGCCCCCAGGACAGTCACCAGCTTCAGTTTCTCCTGGAACAGACAAAGTCAGGCTTAGAATTCTAGTGTTACAGTGCTGACACATGGTCAAACAAGCTCCTCGGCAGTTGCACAGGTTGTTTACATCAATCTCAAGATGATTTTTGTGAGTCTTAAACAAAAGAAAACATGTAATGTACAAAATAAAAAGCATAAATACGAAAATCTGGGAATTCAGGAAATGAAAAGGTTAATTCCATCACGGATGAAGGCGGTTACTCACATCTGTTAATGATGAATGCTGAAATGCCATTCAGTGACACTGAACATTGACTATAAGGTATACTACATGTTGGCACACTTCAATTCAAAGGGAACACTTGCAAACACATTACTTTCCCTCTTTATTGAACTAGACACAGCTTGCAACAGAAACCCCGCCTACCGAATGATATTTATGTGATACGATATATAGACCACATAAAATGTTTCATTTATCCTGAAATCCAGAGTTGGACAGACAATTTCAATTACCAACAGTATCAAGTTCACTATTGCGTAGCACTTACTGGACAACGACCATGCTTGACAAAGCTTGTTTTGCAATTTATTACCTGGCATCCAACATCAGTGGCGGGTATCATATGACTACAGTGTATATTCTATTCCCGTTACTATACATGATGGTTATAACAACATCAGTGGCACGTATCATATGACTACAGTGTATATTATATTCCTGTTACTATACATACTGGTTATAACAACATCAGTGGCGTGTATCATATGACTACAGTGTATATTCTATTCCCGTTACTATACATGATGGTTATAACAACATCAGTGGCACGTATCATATGACTACAGTGTATATTATATTCCTGTTACTATACATACTGGTTATAACAACATCAGTGGCGTGTATCATATGACTACAGTGTATATTCTATTCCTGTTACCATGGTTACTATACATACTGGTTATAACAACATCAGTGGCACGTATCATATGACTACAGTGTATATTCTATTCCTGTTACCATGGTTACTATACATACTGGTTATAACAACATCAGTGGCGTGTATCATATGACTACAGTGTATATTCTATTCCTGTTACTATACATACTGGTTATAACAACATCAGTGGCAAGTACCATATGACTACAGTGTATATTCTATTCCTGTTACCATGGTTGCTATACATACTGGTTATAACAACTGGTCCTTGTCTATCAGAATAATGTTTGTATTCTCTTCCATTAATATTAGTGAAAAATTCAGTCAGTACAGCATACAATAATTTCAGCGGAATTTTGAATGATCGCATGAACTAACTGTTATTTACATCAACCATGATAAGCTTTCCACAAGGTTATGCCATCAAATGAACACAGTTAATACAGAATGGATATGAGTATCATCAAAAATACACGGAATGGATACAAATATTGTCAATAGCATACTGTGACTCGATAAAAGTCGCATTTGCTGTATTTTGCTAAATATATGACATCACTATTTTGCCAAAAAATTAACAAAACCGTGACTGATCAAAATGCTACATACCGGGTATGTCAAAGATATCTGGCGATAGTAATAGTTGTCCCACAGTAGAACGTGTATGGTCAGTGAAGTGAGGTGAGGTGAAATTGGGTTCAACGTCGTGCTTGAGAATATTTCGCTCATATGACGACGTGCATGCGTGTGTATGTGTATGTGCGGCTGCTTGTACTAGCCCAGATTGAAGCTGGTTTTATAGTGCTAGCCCACTGAGATACCATGCCGCAATGAAGCATGAATACCCCACTCAGACACATTATACTGACTCCGAGCCGACCAGTCCTTGTTGTACCCATTAATGCCGAGCGCTAGGAAGGGACCAACAAGTACCATATTTTAACGTCTTTTGGTATGACGCGGTCGGGGATCAAACCAGCGACCTTCCGCTCTCTGGGCGGACGCTCTAACCACTACACCGCGGAGGCGGTCCTTATGGTCAGTATTGTTTTAAATATAGATAGTAAAGGCTGCTACTAAGCAACACAACACTTGAATATATCATCTTGATATATTGGTTTCAGATACAATTTATACCAACTATACTAAGCAGCAAAAGAATTATCAGTTTGGAATTTTCCTTCGCTGAAACGGATAACTGTAAACTCATTTCATGTTTTGATTGAATATTTTTACAACATCTCCAACTTTACCTGAGCAAGGACATTCTTTCCCAAACTCAGAATTCAACCAGGAAATGGTCTCAAAAAAGCAACCTGATCTCGGAGACGGTATGGTGTTCTCCATGTTTTTCATGCAACTCATGCTACACGTGCTGTTCACAAGGACCAGCCCTATAAAATGCACACCAAACCTGGTTGAAACATTCTCATTACAACGTCAGCAGGATGCCGAGACTCACGACAGCTCAGAGGAACCAGGCTCTAGGAAGACTTGAAGATGGCCACATTGCACAAGTTGTTGCCAATCACTTCCTGGTCAACGTTCGGACCATCTACAGGCCGCACCAACACCACAAATGATAGCCCCATACTGGCAGACCAAGGGTGACCACAAGACGACAAGACCGCCATGTTGTGCGACAGCATGTACAGAATCCCTTCATGCAGGCATCCAAAACAGCACACCCGACAGTGGGAACACACGGAAGACCAATCAATACTGATACAGTACGCCGATGTCTTAACAGGGGGAACCTCCATTGCCGTAGACCTTACCGTGGATCTATCCTCACCCCTTGTCATCAGCGTGGACGTCTACAGTTTGACCTACAACACCAAAACTGGCGATACAGGCAATGGAGAACTGTTCTGTTCACAGATGAGAGTCGGTACTGCGTATCAACTGCATATGGCAGAACAAGAATATGTCGACGACGTGGCCAGCGTTACTCAGACCAATGTGTTATGGAAAGAGATTCATGGGGAGGTGCAAGCATCATGGTATGGGGTGGAATAGGCCTGAACGAGAGAGTGGGTCCTGTGGTGTTCCAGAACCTTGGTCCAGGGAGAGGAGGCTGCATCACAGCAGTGCGCTACATCGACCAAGCTCTCAGACCCCACGTCATACCACATTTCACACGTCACCGGAACAACATTTTCCAGCATGATAACACCCAGGCCCATACTGCCAGAGCTACACGGGACTTCCTACAGCAGAACGGTATGCAATTACCAGCCCTTAGTCCTGATTTAAACCCAATTGAACATCTTTGGGATGAAATTCAGAGGAGACTGAAAAATGTCATACCAAGGCCGAACACAGACGATTTATTGCGCCAGGCCTTTCTCAGAGTGTGGTTCCAGGTGCCAATGGCCTTCATCAATCGATTGGTGCACTCCATGCATAGACGCTGTGCTGCAGTTATTGCCGCTAGTGGTGGTCACACTAGATACTGAAGTCAACAGTCTGAATGGACTGCAAACGCAAACGTAAACGTAATGTCTTGTGCTGAGTTATTCATTGATGTGTCAAGATATTGTACACAAAAAATATTTTTGATCCGCTGATTATGTCCATTTAGTAATGATTTGATTACAGTGCCTACCTAATTTTGAATTCGTACTGATGGTTGTTTTTGTTGCTTAGTATATTTTACTCGCAATTTCATCCAAATTTCATGAATTTAACTGACTGGCTATCCTTTAACTTAATAACCAGTAGCCTGGGACATGGGTGTGGCCATTTTGAAGGTCAGTGCACACTACAGTAAACAGGATATAACATTTTGAATGAGAACATAGTTTGTGGGTTAGTTTATTGGTTCAAGACAAATAAAACTGAACCATTCGTACAGGCTTGATTATGTTCAGTAAATCCAGGTCTCACATTTACTGGTTCATATAATGTTTACTGATTTATTTAACACTAAATTGAAATGACATTATTTTTGTCATGTTTTAAGTTTAAATGGATCATCAAAAGGTATGGACATGCTTATTTTCACAAAGGCAAACCTAAATCATCAGTCTGGTGCCCTATGGCACCCTTCGCAAAAATTGCATTTCTATCCTGCACTTGCTATATTCATAGAGCCTTCAACACGCCACTAAACTGGGTTTTCCTCCATAATCAACTACTGGCACAAATTGACACCTGCCACTGCATCAGACACAAGTGAATCTTTCATCAAATATAACTTTAATGAAACTATTGATAGTTCAAGTTCATTGACGTATGAAATGATAGGCAACTGTATGAATCTGCAGAGCCTGCAATCCCTGATCATAGCCTACAATCCCTGATCATAGCCTACAATGCCTGATCATAGCCTACATTCCCTGATCATAGCCTGCAATCCCTGATCATAGCCTACAATCCCTGATCATAGCCTACAATCCCTGATCATAGCCTGCAATCCCTGATCATAGCCTGCAATCCCTGATCATAGCCTGCATCCCTGATCATTGCCTGCAATCCCTGATCATAGCCTACAATCCCTGATCATAGCCTACAATCCCTGATCATAGCCTACAATCGGTTTGTGAACCAGATAGAGATATAGCTGAAATATAAAATCATGGTAGAAATAGTAGGGATAAGAATAAAAGCGCCCTGTAAGAAGGCTGCAAGGAAATCAATCAACTTGCAGTACGATTCCACAACATTCCATTATGGTAACAGTAGTTCATATCAGTTGGGCATTTGGAACGCAAAAGAAACGGTAAAATCAGCCAATCAAATTGTTCGAATTACAATAAACCCACAATTATATGTCAAGTCATTATCAATCATATGCAATCTGTACATACAAGATGCAGGGTTTTATGTGCATTCAGTATGGACAAACGCCTGGTATGGAGCCTTAAGTAACATGTTCAAGAAATAGCAGCATACCTGATCCACAAATCGTTCGTAGTGCTATGACATTTGTAAGCCTATGGTAAACCATAGAGTTGCGACAGGTCGCAACGTTACAAACTCTTTGTGGATTGGGACCCAGTAACATATCTACATAGATTTATCTATTACCCATCATCATTAAGATTAAGTCACAGTCAGGACAAAATGCCTTCAATATTACTGTTTAAGTAATCATTTTCATTATATTAGCAGCTCTTAAAACGACACCTTCATTATCATTGTGAATTAAGGGATAAAAAGAAGGGAAAAACCCCAAACATGCTATTGACGTTTGGATCACACAAGGGTCATTGTTCTTGAAAATGAGATCCTTAACATGCCATTGTGTTGATGCCTCCCAGCTGGGATCTGCCACATCAGGCCGATTATCGGGTCAAGAATAGGGAAATTTGGTGTGAGATGTCACTGACCTGGATTTGATGTCATGTCAACCTGTGGAGGCTAATTAATGGGTTGTAGGGTTAGTGAGGATTACCAACCAGTGTAACTTCATATCATCAACATGTTAAATAATGAATACAAGAATGTACAGATAGTGATCACATATCCTTTAGGTATGTTGTTTAACTGTTTCTCACATGCACACATGGAAACATCACAAATAATGCCACACATCTCACATAATCACAAAATATAAAGTAACATCATAATTATAATTGTGAGTGACGGAACAGACAAAATTGGAGAATTCCATGATGAAAGTGAACATTTTTATATTTTGTCATTCAGTCATACTGTTACTTGTCTACAATGACAGATATTGTCAGTACAATCAAAATACTGAGTGAACTCAAATAGTAAGCACTAATATTTCGAAGTGAATAATTGACAATGTCTCAGTAGCGATATCTCTAAGTTAACACATTAGTGAATTTAGTTATCGTTATCAAAGCCACACTGCATATGGACCTGGCATGAATATGGACGTTTCAGTGTTGGCCTTGTGTGAAGATACCAGCAGCTGGTTCTTCGCATTTCTCATCATGACTCTTAGACTAAATACCGGATTTTACAGTCGTACTGGGTAAGAAGATTAACATCTGGAGATACAAATCCATAAAAGGACATACTCAGTGTATTTACACAGCTAGACAGATAAATGTTACAAAACCCAAAATAATGGATTTCATCTACTTGACACCCAGACCTCAAATAACATTGAACAAACATTTGGTGTGATAGCTGCTTCACACTGCATGTTCAACCGTGGTAACACAGTACTCACTTACAACAGCTGTTAGTGATCACCAAGATATCACAGTACTAGAGACTGGAGATGTAGTTTTATGACACAGACAGAGCATATAACAAGCTATCAAAGTCCTGTGTGTATTTGGGTTCAGGCATTTACAACAGGAAGTACGATGAAGGTGGGTTCTCACGAAACAACTTCAGATCATCCTAGTCGTAACGATCTTAAATCAGATACAACTAACGGCAGCTGAGTTGTAAGACGTAAGACTTGTCTTTATACATGTATCTACTTCAAGTTGCAGGCTCTTGTGTCTACCCAAGAGTGAACTTTATTTGTGTTGACATCGTGTTGGAGACATGACTGAAAAAAATTAATCCAACCAGAGTAGAAACTGATTGGTGCTTCACCTGAGAATCCAGCTGCAAACTCACATCGGTTTAATCTTTCTTTTGTTCATTTAGTGTCTCTTTGTTTTTCACTTGATGAATCCATGTTGTCGAGTCATGCGTGAGAATCACGCAAAATTCAAGTTGAATGCAACTTAAAAACTAATAAAAAAAAAAAGTTGTTATGATCGATATTGTTACTACAAGTTGTATGCTACAAGTGTTACTACAAGTCGCATCATGAGAATGCACCTAAAACTATCAGCAGCACAGATGTGTCAAGTTCCTCATGGTTAAGCCTAGGTAATCCCAGATAAAGGGATTATGAAAACAGCAGTGTTCAGACTCCAGATGGTGTCATCTCTTCCTGCATCACCCTGTGTGATAACCTTCATATACCAACAGTGAGATAAACTGGAAACATAGAAACTGTTTTCCCTTATGTACTGCATAGCTGCAACATGGAAGTAAGGCCAATATGTTCCAAGTTGATGGAGACGGAAAGGTGCTTGCATGCCTCGAGTTCTTGAGGTTTGCTCCACCAGCATCGTAAGAAACCACTGAATTATAAGGAGGACACCTTGTTTTGCTTAATATGAACACAGACTAACAGTAGCTGACAGTATCTTAACAGTCCTGATAGTGCTGAACATTAGGAACATTATTTCTGCAGGAGCTGCTGCTTTGTTTCAACAGGTAAAGCCAGGAAAATATAAGCTATTGAGAAATTTGAGAAAAACAAATAAAATGATTCAGGGTCATATTTTGGTCAGTTACTTAAATGAAGATTAGGGGAACAAATGTACATAATCATCACAACAAATTATAATTATTCTAAATTATGGCGGGGGTGGTGGGGTTGCCTAATGGTTAATGCCGTGATGTTGCTGGAATATTGCTAAAAGCAGCGTAAAGCCAAACTCAGTCACTCAGTCAGTCTAAATTATGGCTTTTGCCAACCATACATGTATGTAAAATCAAATTTGCGAATAAAAAATACAGCCAAATGAGAAGAAAACATGAACAGGACATAGTGTGCCACAAGAGGTAGCCCAGCCCAGTGTGGACACGCTAATAAATTTGGTTGCGTCCATTGTACATTTTTATGCGTAGAGGACGCAGGAATTCACATCCTGTAAATCCCTAGACAGGTGTTAAAATGCATGTGAAAATAGGTTAGCTTCAAAAACATATACAATACAATTGAATTCATGGGTAAAACAGATGAAATGAGACATCACTTCTTTTACTTATTGCACAAAACTATATCTGTATTGAGCACTTTAATTTTGTAAAAGATAGATTTGCTTTCTTGTTGAATTGTCACACAATCTGTGACCAACACTTTAGAGTCTTTTTCTCCAACAGTGCTGGTGATTATTTCATTAAATTCAAGTGGTTTTAGTGGTGTGATATACTATTTAATAAATAGATCTGACTAGACTCAGGTTCACATTCAGGATATGTTATATCTTAAAAAATTACATGTATCCTGTTGTGCTAGAAACAAAATGCTATGAGTAATCCCTGTTTAACCTTTAAGAACAAAAACATGATGAAGATCAGACTTGCACAAATTTCTAATGTTTTGCATATTAAGATTGAGATAATATTGTGCAATACGCATTGCTTCAAGATTGACATATCAACTTAGTATGTCTAATTTCATGGATGCCTGCCCACATTTAAAAACAATACTTCACATTTATTCACGCATAAACAAGATTGCTACTGTATTATTTCTCAGTTATACTGGTTAAATCATGTACTTGTACCAGTCAGCTTGATGTGAAGGGGAAGGCAGAAAGTGGTGCAGGCCTTTTGAAACTTGGGAACAGACCAACAACAAAGGTATGGTGCCTACAAAATATCCACTGATAACAATGATGGATTAAAACCAACCTCCAAGGGCACTAACTCTGCATAATGGCCCCCTGAATGTTCTAGGAGGAGATGGGAACTGTTTACAAGCCACATCAGTTCCTTATCACAGACTGTGTGACCCAACAGCCACATGTAAACCCTAAAGTTATCTGTTTGATTGTCTGTACCTGGGAAATAGATATATTTACAACATGGGAGTAACTGAGTGAGTTTAGTTTTACGCCACACTCAGCCATATTCAAGCTAAATGGCAGCAGTCTGTAAATATTTGAGTCTGGACCAGACAATCCTGTGATCAACAGTATGAGCATCGTCTACACAACTGGGATACGATGACATGCGTCAACCGAATCAGCGAGTCTGACCACCCGATCCCATTAGTCGCCTCTTATGACAAGCATGGGTTACCGAAGATCAATTCTAAATATACCATGTTAATAAGGGCAATTAATACACTGTTATTCAACAACTAAATCTAACCTGTTTGAAATTGTTCTCAGAAAAGATTTCTGTTTAGACAGGATTACATATTAGAATACATTCAGTGGCAAGAGACTTAGTCTTAGATTGATTGTTACAATCACTACATTTGCAAGTAGATCTTCTAAGTCACTTCCTATTGCAGTTGCATGATGTGACAATCAAAAACGTATAATTATAACATTTAGAAATTCTTCTCAGACACAATTTGGTGAATAGAAAAATGAGCTATATATACTGACTGACTGAGTTTGGTTTTACGTCGCTTTAAGCAATATTCCAGCAACATCACGGCGGGGTACACCAGAAATGGGCTTCACACTTCGTGCCCATGTGGGGATTCGAACCCGGGTCTTCGGCGTGACGAGTCAACGCTTTAACCATTAGGCTACCCCACCGCCCCGAGCTATATACAGTGTCACTGTCACTGATGACCGGATAGTGCAGATGATCAACACTTTATTACAAAAGAACCAACATTGGTTGATAAATTGCTAAATCCATGATACCGTGTCATCAGTTCTGCATCCAACTGCTAGAAGACACTGACTTGGAGTTCTTTGAGAAGATTATGAATGTCCAAATAAAATTCCTATGATATCCTATCTAAGTCAACTCCAGAGCTAAAAACATGTTGGACAAATAAATCCAGGCTCCATATTAAATGCTTGTGCATACCGATGCCAATACATCAAAACAAATAAACAAGCAGCAGAATGACTTACAAGCAGAATAATTACAGATTATTTTCAAACTCCTTTTTGAACTGACGTGACAACACCAAGAGATCAGCAGATCAATCTGACAACGAAACATGATGAACTCGTTGGAAATCTAAATCTAAATCAAGGCATACAAACCTCTGAAAATGTGAACGCTAGTGGAATTATGCCTGCAAGATAACAGCCCACCAACATTGCAAGTGACAGTAATATCAAAGTCCATAATTCGTCCATGATCTTGTAGTTCAATATTCAATAGCTCAAAACGACTCTCAACCAGCTGTCCTACCACGTACGACCATGTTTTGATGACGCCGATTCCCGATAGGTGGCGCAAAATGGAAAACATTTTTTTACGAACAAATTATTTTAATAATATATAGCAAATTTCGTATCGATTATTCGATACAATAAGTTGAATGTATCAAACAAACATTTACTTTTAAATCGACAGGTATATCGGGAAAATCTCGCTTTCGTGAGGTATAAACAACTTCCGGTAACACAAGCTCGGAAACATCTTCAAAGTTTGCAACAATGGTATTGACTAAATTGATGTTGACTAATTTACATTATTCAGTTGAAAATATTTTCATGGTTAAGCTATTGTTGTGGTGCATAAGTATCTATATAGCTCTTTTAATCTTTTCATTGCGAGAAAATACACTTCTGCTCAGATTGGCTTTTTACCAACATGTGCCACGACGAATATTGGAACTCGGTGATCGATGCTGCAGTTGCAATTTCGTGAGGATGGACTTGATATTCAAGATAAAATATTATCCAATGCATGTTGGAGACATCCTGGTTAAATGGTAGTTTGAAGCATATTCAACCAGTGTCCATGTTTTCTCTTTTCGGCTTCATACATCTTTCTCTGTATGTGCCCTTACAAATTTTTGTGTTGATGGAATTTGGCGATTTTAACATTAATATTGTGATTTGAACATGCTGTCCTATGCAGAGTGTGTACCAAAATTGGTTAAAATTTCTGTTGCCTGATGCTCAACAGATCCCGTCTGCCTCTTTGATCCTCAGGGTAGATTACACTAAGTCTGTCCTTTTCCCTTGAATCCTCTTCCAGATATAATATCCCTTTTCATTCCTAAGGGTAGGTGTGAGGGAGGGTATATGTCAACTACCTCTTTTAACCAATAAATCTTACGCAATTTGATTTTGATCCTCCAAGCAGTGCTAACTCAACTACCCCTAGTGCACTACCCCTTCATTATTTTATGATTGATGTGCATTTTAAAAAATCGTATGTATGTTTATTTTAATATAATGGTGGAATCTTGGATCAGGTAATGTGTTATTATGATACATGTGTCACAATTACTGTTTTATTGTAAGTAATATATTCTGATACCAATTGTATCGCACGCATACTTTTCTTTTTTCAATCAAGGTGGCTGAGTGGTTTGTGTGCAGGCAATTAGGTGCATTACTCTGAAAGTGTGGGTTCGAATCCTGAATGGGGCATAATCCCGTAATGAACTAGAATCTGAACTTTTCGGAGAAAGTTTAATCCAAAATATAACATAAGTTACACATAGGAAATGTTCATTTGTGTGGTTTTATTACTCTCTAATATACCTGATCTTGTTTTTTCTGTGGTACTTTGAGATAATAATTATTTTTCTTTCTGTGTTTTGTTGCAGTCCCACACAATTCTGCTCGTCCAGCCCACAATCAGACCAGAGACAAGAACATACTCAGACTATGAGAGTCTCAATGAATGTTTGGAAGGTTGGTATACATTAGTAGAATAATGTATCATATTGTCATGATAGGTAGCTCACCCTAACAAATGTAACGACATGTTGTGGCTGTTGTAGGTCATCTTTCTTCACTCTTTTTCAGTGCTTAATAGGATATATGATGTATGATATAAGTCAGTCAGTGCCTTTGGCCACTTACCTCAAGTCAGGGTCTCTTCTGTCTATTAATAGTAAGCTCAGCTAATAATAGTTCATATAATAATGCTACTGGAATCGATATTAAGAGCCAAGTTTGGACTATCAAACTCTGAAGTATTTGGCGCAGGATTCCTGAGCTACAAACTGTGTTATATCTACCAGTACTATGAGTTACAAACTGTGTTTATCTATCAGCATCATGAACTACAAACTTTTGGTATCTACCAGTACTATGTGTTACAAACTGTTTTGTATCTACCAGTACTATGAGTTACAAGCTGTGTTTATCTATCAGCACCATGAATTACAAACTGTTTTGTATCTACAAGTACTATGAGTTACAATCTGCGTTTTTTCTATCAGCACCATGAATTACAAGCTGTTTTGTATCTACCAGTACTATGAGTTACAAGCTGTGTTTATCTATCAGCACCATGAATTACAAACTGTTTTGTATCTACCAGTACTATGAGTTACAAACTGTGTTTATCTATCAGCACCATGAATTACAAACTGTTTTGTATCTACCAGTACTATGAGTTACAAACTGTGTTTATCTATCAGCACCATGAACTACAAACTGTTTTGTATCTACCAGTACTATGTGTTACAAACTGTTTTGTATCTACCAGTACTATGAGTTACAAACTGTGTTTATCTATCAGCACCATGAATTACAAACTGTTTTGTATCTACCGGTATGTAACGGTAACCCGCCATTCCTGCGGCAATATCTACTCTGGTGAGAGTATTTAGTGGCATGCGTTTTTATGTACATGCCCTTTTTCCTTAATTATTCCTTTTTACACAACTTTGGAAGCCGGACATGGGTAAATATCGTACACCTTCTTCATATGCTCTATGGGGTTGTTTTGAATAAGCCAACTGTAAGGATTTATATTGACTAGACTTCCAGAGAGTAGGTCTAAGTTTATTCCTTCTTTTTAAGCCGTATGGAGAACTATATATAGTTCCTTAGCTTATACCCGGTCCGTCCTTCCCTAGTCCATAATATATTTTTGTGTGTTTGACTCACCCCGTTCCACAATTTGTAATTGTCTGGCAGTGACCATGGTGTCTTGTATTTTCTATGATTGAAGTTACCAATATAATGTCATTCTCACCCAATCTGTGTTTGTTCATCTTTGATTCCTAGTATATTAGTTTCATTGTGGAAACGTCCTTTTGGACCCTAGTGTGAAAGTTTGGTTTGCCTACAGCTACGTTTCTGTCTGCTATTTTTGTGTTACGGTACCAGTATACCGCGGTACCAGTATACCGCGAGGTGTCCGGCCGCTGTAACACGGAACCATGATTTCAAACTGTCGTATCTAACAGCACTATGAGCTACAAACTGTGTTGTTTCAATGTGTCCAATAGCTGTTTATATTGTCATGATTTCATCACTTCATTGAATACTGAGAGCCATTGGGTATATATTTAGTATATAAGTTGATATTAAGTTCAAGGTGGAATTAAAATTATCATTATCATGATAAAGATATATGTTCATGATTCTAAATGAGTCTTTCATATTTTGATTAAAGGAAAATCTGTTTGATAATTACTAGGGCTGGGACGATTCACCTATGCAACGATACATCCGATACATTGAAGTTTGATACAGCTATCGTATCATTGATTGGTGTATCGATACAAAACAATACACGACTTTTTTCAAAACAGTATTTTCTTAAACATGTTAAAGTACTTATTTAGTGAAAAATACGCAAGTATGATAGAGTTACTTGTTTGTCTATTACAATAGTGTTACTGTTATACACAAATACTTCGAAATCATTTTAGATCTTAATACTGTGTCATTCTTTCAAGGTGTATGTATCATGATACGATAACATATAGCGATACATATCATATCGTGACATAGTGTATCGTCCCAGCCCTAATAGTAGTAATACTCACAACTCTAGGGCTACAGGAGACCTCAATGACAGATCTCTGTGTCCCATGCTGGATATCTGAGGGTCCTGTAAAGTAATGGAAGCTGGTGGTGCTTTATGGTGTCCTCAGAGATGGAATATTGTTTATTTTGGGCAAGGGGGATAGTTCTATGGACATACAGCTTCTTTATTACAATATACAGTGGAAACCGCCTAAGTAAAGACTAAACAGACCTGATAAGTAAACACTTTTCTTTGGTCCCAGCAAATTTCTTCATAAGTTATCACTATTACAGTCCGGTTAACTAAACTCGGATAAGTAAACAATACCGCTTAACTAAACGTCTTCTCACGGTCCCTGGAAGTAAATTACTTAACAAAAGATACTTGATAACTAAATTAGCGATCACCACATAATCCGACATGAGGGGTAGTCATGTCAGTCTCCAGTCAAACAAACATCCTGTTTACAGCTCGCTGGCATCATGCAGTTGATAATACACTGACAACTGGAGGCCAGCCCTGATAAGTTGTTCATTGTTACATATGCATACATATACATGCCTGTGGTTGTCATTTGCTGGCTTTTATAAGTTTGGATAAGTAAAATACCTGATAAGTAAACAATTTTGGCGAGTCCCTTGAAATTTTACTTATCAGGTTTCCACTGTATGTGATGTTTTGGTGTAGATGCTAACACTGTTCTGTAATAAAGAAGTTGTATATCCATAGAATTATCTGCCTTGTTCATCATGCCAACTTCTCAATGCCACTTAAAGAAGTCATTGTTGAAGCCACTATTGTGACACAGTATCTCAGTGTATTAGCACTATCACACTGACACACACAGAAACACAGATAGACACATCCTGCATACTTCCTAAGAACATGAAAATGTTTAAAGTTACATCAACACACATATTTCCTCAAGTACAACTTGCTGGCTCTTTGGCACTTTTTCAATATTTGAGACAATTGTTTTTCTTGTGTATTTTGTAGGCATCTGCAAGATATTTGAGGAGCATCTTAAAAGGAGTAATCCCCAGTCCTGCCAGATCACTTACGACATCAGTCAGCTGTTCGACTTCGTGGATGACCTGGCTGACCTCAGTTGTTTAGTGTAAGTGTCCACTCACTACAACCTTTCCTGACATTCTCTGTTACGTATAGTTGGTGAATTTAAGGAAAGTGGTTTGGGAACTAGGTGAAATTTGGTTCAAAATTAGCATGTAATTCTGTAAGACGATTGATTAGTTTAGGCAAGATAATGTTGCTATGTATTAGCAGCCATCAGATGTCAAGCAGAATAGACGGCGTGTACACATGGTACATGGGAGCTATTAAAGCTACTTATATGGATGTTACAGTATTGCAGCTAACGGTGGACCTTGCAACAATACAATGCTATAAAAGTATTATTATGAACAGCACTGATCTGACCATTGCCTCAATCTCTGTTGGCGCTGATCATGCTTTTGGATTTGCTTGCACCATACTCCTGCCTAATTACTCCTGGCTTTGTGTCCACCCTAAACTGACACACCATGATCGTGTTCTAAGTGGTGTTAAAACTCAACTGACTCAGCCACTGTACATGAGAGCACACACCGTCAACAATGTGATTTTAGTGGTACAGTTTATGATGGTACTAAGGTCAACTTGCTGTTTTCCAGGTACCAGAAAAGCATCGGCACATACATCCCCCACAACAAAGACTGGATGAAGGAGAAGATCTACAACATGCTGAGGAAACAGGCAGGGAAATAGACAAGCATGGATAACAACTTGTGATAGAGACACTTGATCTTTGTTGTGACGACTGTGTGGGAATCATGTCTATTTCAATCATGTCCATTACACTAGCGCACGGCTGATATACCAGGATAGAGCAAATCCTGATGGTTATCATTTTAATACATTTACGATATTTTTTTTGTATGTACGTTTGTGTAATTGTTTTGCTAGGTCATTCGTGTTAATGTTTTAGAATTTTGGAATCTGGTATGAAAAATGATTTTATAGAAATAGCTTAGTTATAAGACCGAGTTTAAAATGGAGAATCAGTGAAGGTGAGAATGCTACAGACAGCAGCCATGTGAAGTTATTGTGTTTGATTTTGCCGCACTGTGTTGCTGTGTTGATTCTATGTTTACTATTTCTCATTATCTGTGAAACTTCTGTGTTGGATTCAGAGAATATTAATCCTTTTTGCAGCAGCTTAAGGACTTAATTCACGTTTATCATCATAGTATTTACATTTAATTTTGTTTTGTTACAGAAGAATATCTAAATCTTACCTGATCACTAGTAACAGAGACATGGAGGAATAGACTCACGAACATGACTAGGTTCCTTTTGCGGTTTGTATTTAAGATGATGCCAACAAGTTGCTCATTCAATAGGCATGGCTCGGTTATCTCCCTTTGGTAGGAGAGCCATTTTTAAATTATGGAATAACTTTACGTTCATGTGTATGTAAGCTGTAGTTTTGGAAAGGATGCAGACTGTTGATGATGTCAGTATGTCAACTGTTCTCGGGCAACTTCATATCAAGGGAGATAACTGTGTCACCATTTTTTATGTTCCATTGGTGTGACTAAGAAATTCATATTTCTGACTTTCCAGTACAGTCTTGTTTGTAGCTAAATATTCATTTAACATCAATAAATCTACCATTTTCTCACATTTAACTTGTTGTAATTTTTATGAGGTATTTCAGGGCAGTGGAGAAGCCTAGTGGTTAAAGCGTTCAATCAGGAGAACCGGGTTTGATTCCCCACATGAATACAATGTGTGAAGCCCATTTTTTGTATCCCCCATCATGATATTGCTGGAATATTGCTAAAAGGGGCACTCACTCACTCATGAGATTTTTCAGTATTTCTGTTCAGGTACAGTTTATCTGGTTCCCTACACCACTTCTGATTCATTCAACACCATCCTTATATTCACTATCACATGATTCATATCCATCAATGGCTAAATGTAGACTCAGAACTTCCCAGCAAAGCAGCAAGGACAACAGTGTCGGCATAGAATGACCTTCTCCCAGATGACAAAATGGAAAAGAACAGTATTTTATTATACATTAATGTCCAATTTTGTTGAGACTTTATAACTATGCTGTTATCAGAAGCATAACATAAACATATAACCTGTATGTTTAGGAACTTATAATGTAGAAAATAGGATTGACATACTCAATCAGTGTCACTCACAGTCAAACCCTTAAGTTCCAAATATGTTGCAATATGGGTACCCAAATCGCAATATATTTCAATACAATTTATTTGCCAATACACAGCCCAAGATATCAGTCCAGTGTATTTTATGATTTGGGTTTGATTTGATGTGATCAGAGATTTAATGTGAGAGAAGTGTTATGTTCACGTAGGCGTTGATGGGTTGTCAGGATGTGTTGCCAAAATAGCTGTCCACTCTGAGAGTTTTGATTATGGGTATATTGCAGTGATGTCAGTCCACTATTGGTTAACGAATAGTAGGATACGACACTTTATTGATTCACTCCCTGACCATGGAGTTATGGTGTGCATTGAACAAGGGAAAGAACTCCGCACAATCTAGTGCAAATAATCCTGATTGGTCACTGGTTGATCTTAACTTCAACTCTTTCTACATGAATCACATTACTTTCTTGTTCCACTTCATTCAACACACAGGTGGATCCAGATGGGAGTTGTAGGGGAGTGCGAACACCTCCACTATTTTTTTTTTCAAACACTGTTCATGTTAACTGTGCTGTCCACCAAGTAACTTGCTGCCGTGGGTATTATGAGAACTTCCTCTTTTTCAAAATCCAGGACCCATGAAGATCTGGTCTTCAGCAAAGGAGGATACCAACAGGAATGAGTGGTCGTGCTCTCACCGATCACGCGTGGCATGTACACTTTGACCACAATGAACTTACTTACTTTTTGCATGCTTTTTGACACCTGAAGTTCGCAAACCTGGTATTGAAAATTGAAGAACGGTTGATTATTCTCTCGCCTCTGAATGTTGTGGGAACACATTAATTTCCAATCTCCTACCCAGAGTTCCATGCAGCATGCTAGCATAGTACCTCTGCCACAGACCGTCATTCAATATAATGTACATATTTCTTAACTCCTTTATTTTTGACGAGCCTCCACATCTTATTAAACATCTTTGATAGAATGGTTTAGTTTCACTGACCCAGTCTCAATCAGCAGGAAGTGGGGTATGTTAGAATGACTTGAGAAAAATGGTTTGCCAATTCCATTTAAGGCAACAAAACCTGTTTTGTATGGAATTATTAAGGCAAATGAAAATAACCCTGTGTAAAAGGTTGCCCAATACTTAAGTTCTGGCCATGAAGTGCTTCGTCTTTCCTGTACCATTGTGACCTTAACCCCATAGAGCTGGTCTGGGGTGTCATCAAGTCCGAAGTGGGAAGAAATAACACCTTCAAACTTGGCGGTGTACAGAAACATGTACAGCAATCCATCAGCAACACCCCGCAAGAAACATGGCAGATATGTTTTGAAAAAGTGGAAAAGGATACTGAAACTAAATACTGGCAAGAGAGAGGTTTAGACAACGCGACCATTAGATCAATCATTGCCAGTGGACTCTGACAGCAGTTGTTCAGAATCAGAGTTGGATTCAGTTGTGATATCTTGTGATTCCTTGTTTTGTTCTGCCTCATGTGTTTTACGATGTAACCAAAATTTCCTTCAGGATAATAATGTATTTACCTTATCTCTCTCTTATCTTATCCCTCTGATGACATAAACGATTGCGGCCGTCTCCATCCTTTCTAGCATACCTGGCTGTTCCTCTCCTCCCTCGTCACAAATAGTTTAATGATAGTTTGTTAAACAACTTTTTTATTTTTAGGACAAATTCTGCCACAGAAAACTCAGAGTTGGTATGATGTTTTGATCATGAGCAGCGTTTTATTGAGTATTATGTGTTTATTAGTATTCTAATTAGCTTGCAATTCATCGGTCCGCTTTTGAGCCAAACGGACTGTAGTGTCAAATCATACATATTTCGATATTATCCTGTCAACGGTTAACAGTGAAAACACCACAAAGCATGTTATCATTTTGCATTAAAAAATGGCATAATATCAAATAATGCCAGTTACTTTATTCCAGTAGTATATGTGATCACATACCAATACTGCATAGATGCTCATGTCAGCCACCGGATTGTCTGAGTATTTACAGACTGTTCACAAACAAATCAAACTCCTGGCAGCTTCTGCTGCCGAACTGTGAGCTGGAACTCCCAAGTAATTACACAGCCAATTCTAAACACAGTACACGTTTCCTCATTAGCAAACTCCATAACTTTTACACGTATGCCCACATTTATAGTTTAAGTTTTGGGTTGAACAAAAATGTCTTCGACAGACTGAATACCCTCTTCTTATTTGGGTAAAATAACTGTTAAGATGTCAAAAAGATTGATGGTGTTCCTGAGCAGTTTTCATGTTAAAGTCATAGAATTTGTATGTCTATGGCTTTCTGGGTAACTTTTATGACATTTTCACAAAGCTTGGAGCATTTTGAAAATCGTCATGCCAAACTCAATATTTATGGGAGAAAGAACCCTATTGTTAGACCCAAAGCTTGTCAAGCATCATTGTCAAGATATTCTAACATTATCCACATTTTCCGAATTTTGCAACGTTCCACCATTGATGCCCTTAACCCAGAACCCAGAGCCATACAAATTTGTGGTTCCTGATCAGAATATGTAGGTTCTGTTTATTCATATGGAAATAATACTCTTAGGTACTGGGGATGAAAAAGCTGTCTGCCAAAATGACCTGCAGAAAACAAAAGCTGTGGGTCAGAGTGGTGTTCAGTCAGCTTTGGGCCTTAGACCCGACCTTAATTTAGAACGCTTCCCAGACTGCCATACCTGGGTGCATAATCTTTGATGACAAACCTGTGAAGACTGGGTTAGAATTGGTCTTAAGCAACCAAAGCTTGTTATAAGATGATCAGTGCTCATGATGTTTATCATTGGATTGTTTGGTCCAAGTATTTACAATGGCTGCCACATAGCTGGAATATATTGCGGAGTGTGGTGTTAAAACACAAAAAATCCAGTAAAGTGACGAATTCATGGCAAGGACAATATGTGTTGGTGTTATTATAACTCAACAATCAATTTCACCAAGGTTCACAGAGTCCGGCTTAGAGACATACCATAGTCACAGCACCAGAGCCAATGTTCAGCATCCTTGTCCGGCCACATAAAGCAGATGTCTTTATATACATGAGGTCCAGGGTAGAATAGGTCTTCAGCAACCCATGTGTGCTACAACAGGCGACTATGTTTGTCGTAAGAGGCGACTAATGGGATCGGGAGGTCAGGCTCGCTGACTTGGTTGACACGTCATTGGTTCCCAATTGCGCAGATCGATGCTCATGCTGTTGATCACTGGATTGTCTGATCCAGACTCGATTATTTTACAGACCGCTGCCATATAGCTGTAGTATTGCTGAGTGTGAGGTAAAACTAAACTCACTCACTCACTTTATATACATGAAACACATTTAAACTTTACTCATAAAAAACAACACAAATTTGCTTTGACATGTATTTTAATTTTCTTTTTTTCTAATAAACAATCTAAAATAGGCATCAAACTAAGAAAATGCCCTTCAACATTCTCAATGACAATCCATCACAACACTGAACTATTCTACAATAATTCCTCATGAGTTCACATAAACTTTAACATTTCATGTGCATATTCATTAGACATAACCCCCAACGGAAACACCATTTTGCAATTCTCTGAGATAAATGGGGTGACCTGGAAGTCCATGTTTACCCCCCTTTTTGTTACAGCCCATCACAATGTGAATAATCCATATGCTTACTGTTTGCTTGTACAATTATTATGTTAAGAAGTGTTGTGATACTTGATTCTGCTGCTTTGAATGGGTTCAAAACCAGGATTGATCTATACAACTGAGAGAACAGTCTAATAAGAGTAACATGTTATATTTACACTTTTCAGAGGTGTACACAAAGTCCAGTATGGACTACCAGTTGTCTGACTTCCATTTTTGTGGAAGCCACGGTGGCCGAGAGGGGTAGGCGGCTCACTTTGTGTGCTTTGCGATTAGGTGCCTGACTGTGGGTGTGGGTTCGAATTCCGGATTGGACTCTACACAAAAAGTACTAGATTCTAAGAAAGTGTAATCCCAAATGTAACATATGTTACATTTGACCACTTTCTAAATGACATTGGGTATTCATATTTTAACAAGACAAATAGGCTATACTGACAGACCAACCTGACAGAGATATAAAACCACTGGAAGGTATTCTGGTAGTAATGCCATTCTGAACACAAATCACAATCTACATGTATCCACACCTTGTGAACAAAGCTGTTACAAATGACAAGAAGATCAATAATTACATTCATAAAAGCACTGTACAATCTGGGTAACAAGAGAACCATGAAATCTTCACTGACCAATATTCTCATCATTTCAAGATGTCCCTTGACAAGACAATTTAACGCCATGTTACTAAACAAAGGCAGTATCCTGATATTGGCATGACATATCACACGCAAGACAATGGTCTTTACAACTTCACCAACCAAGAAAGTTAGCAGAATTGTTTTTAGCTGAAAATAGAATTTCATCCTTACATCAACACTTCTCAGATGAAGTGTAACATGTTTAATGACTCGAAGGATAGAGGAAAAACATATATTGTATAATTACTTTAATTTACATATATACATGGGCCCATAAGCATGGATACTGATCAAGAGGGTACTGACCTGTGCGATTTTATATAATGTATACACAGGGTTCCCACACTTAGTTGATTTTTTTTAAAAATTCCATGATCTTTCCAGACAAATACCGGTATTGCTTTTTCAAGACACAGCAGTAGATGTCCTAGGGTATTTTGATACCTTTAAACATATATCACTGTCTCTGAAATAAAACAATAACTTAAATACGGCCTCAAATCTCCCCTTACAGCTGTACATTCACATCTCTTTATGATAAGATGACATAATATATTGGCCACATGAAGAAACTGCACACAGAAAATATAAATATAGGCACACAGCGTATTTATACATAAATACATTTGTGAACATAGCAAGTATTGGAGACAATCAAACGCTCATGCACGTGCCAGGTGACGTGACGTCATTGACGGTGGCGTATGGCCTTGCAATGTGTAGCTGCACACAACATGTGAAACTCTGAAATTGCTGTCACTGTCGAAAGCTTGATCTTTGGTCATTTAAACGTTCACAAATCCACATGAGAAGTCACATGCACATCATGCCAAGATTAACATCTGCTCCACGTCATGAAGCCATTGGAATGGTTCGAGCAGGAATGAGCCAACAACAGGTGGCAGCACATTTCCAATGCCATCGTAACACGATATCTGCATGGGTCAGGCGTTTTCCGAAACAGTAATGACGTCGTCGACCACTGGGCGTTCCTGACGGAACGACGCCAAGACAGGACAGGTGGATTTGGGTGACTCATCTCAGATACAGGTTCCAGACAGCAGTGACCACGCGCCAGACCATTCCCCAGGCCTTCAATGCTCATTTGCTAGCCTCTATGCGTCGTCGATGCACTGCTGTGCTTCACGTACATGGTGGTCATACCCGTTATTGACTTTGTGACTTCGTCATGTGACCCCCTACTCAATTTTGAAGTTCTGACGTCATTGTTACGGATAATGTTCATGTTCTTTTGACAATTTCTTGTGGTCCGATACTTCAGCTTTTAAAGTGTCTACATCATTTCGTCTTTGCTGTGTTGTATTCCAATTCTGAAGGCATTTTCTGTGTGCACAGTTTCTCTATGTGGCTAGTATATACATGAAACATCAAGCGTAGCAAGTTTTCTTTACTCTTTAACTATCCTTATTGACATATAGGGGTGATGGGGTAGCCCAGTGGTTAAAGCATTCGCTCGTCATGCTGAAGACCCGGGTTCCATTCCTCACATTCATATAACATCAATAAATCTACCATTTTCTCCCTTTAAACTTGTACTTAACAAGAGGTATTTCAGGGCAGTGGGGTAGCCGAGTGATTAAATTGTTCGTTCGTCACGCCAAAGACCCAGGTTCGATTCCCCCCATGACTTCAATGAGTGAAGCCCATTTCTGGTGTTCCCTGCTTTGGTATTGCTGGAATATTGCTGAAAGCGGAGTAAATCTAAACTCACTCACTCACTACTGACATATATCCAATAATAAAACATGTCATTAAAATCAATAATGGTTCAATATCTTACAGTATAAACTGCAGACACACTGCATACTAACACTTACTTTAACTACTGTTGATATAGTCCAGTTACAGTACCATATTTCTTGGCTTATAAGATTATTATTTATATATATATTAATATATAGATTATTCCATGATTTCATCCTTTTTTTAAATCCATGATTTTTCCAAGACTGGAAAATAGGTCTTGTGGAAACCCTGATATACAGATGTCAAATATGACCTTAAAGTCAACATGTCCACCCCCAAACATTGACATACTGATATGTTCTAAAACAGCTTTCAAATATTTAGACAAGTTTGTTATCATGAAATTGATGCACACATTCATCAGATGGAATAAATAGTATAATACAACGAAAACAGTCTTCCTCACACAATGATCTAACATTGCATTCTAAATCTAACATGAACAAATGGCCTTGCACATGATGCTCAAAACACTGCTGCTGAAAAAAAGGCTGCAACTCTTGACTGGTACCAAGCATGAAGGTGGTCCTTATCACGGTTAATTATAACAATAGAGGATGTAGATCGGGGATCGCTAAGATTCAAACCAAACTACCCCCAAACATGTCATTTCAAAAATTCTTATTACACTGTTAATGGATATTTTATGATTAAAATCCATGTTTCTAGATGGGGTAGAGGAAAAAGAAAAGACATTTTATGTTTTTCTCCTTACATTGGATCTTCTAGTCTGAACAGGTTATTCATTGGGTGAGTTTAGCATGTTTTACTGTTAACTGGTTGCATAATCTTGGAGTTCGAAGTTTATAATCTTAATTTGTTTTGTAGAGCAATGAATAACTCCTTTGCAAATTGCATTTTTTTCATTTTGTTCTCTAAGTGTACATTGAATTTGGAGAAACATTTCTAAGTTCAAAAATATCTTGTCATATACACAGCAGTGTCAGTGTGTCAGTGCTCAAGTGGTGTTAACCTTCTATGCTCAGTTCAAAGTGCTCTGCATCATCAAACTCCTGGTTCATCTTCTCTGCCCAGGCATCAACCTTGCTGATCTGCAAATAAAACACACACTTCATATCAATATAATTTCTTTGTCGTGTGTTGAGAACAGTGGTTTATATTGTGCAGATCCTGATTGATAGGAATCCGATTCCTTCAAAAACACACTGAACTTGATGATTTCACATTTTAATTAGATCTGCAAGTTATATTATGTAGATAAAATTATGTTTTGAGACAGTATATCAGCCTTTGGCCATACCAGTTCAACTCTATTCATTTCTGACCATGTATTACGTTACCTTTAAGAAACCATGGTAACAGGAGATAACTAGCCATGAGAATATGGTACTGCTTAACTGTAACTATGGTAACCTTGCATACTTACAGAGTAACGTCCCTTTGGTCTCTTTTGCTTAGTGGGTTTATAGGAAATTGTTAAGCTCTTATTCAGCATCATTTCTGAAAATACAAATGGATGAAATAAAGTATCAGAGACTACAATGCTCACATGATCGGATATATATAAAAATAAATGTTTATGTAGTAACTTCGTGGTTTGCAAACAGGTTCAATGTTGCAGATCGCCTCTGTGGTGTAGTGGTTAGGCAAAATAAAAACAATGTTGTGGTTCCGATTACATCTCTTTAAAATTTAGGGTAGGTAGGTACAATTTGGGTTTTTCCCCCATATTTTTTTAGAAGAAAAGTACAAACTAATGGCACATTTATCAATGTGTATAGTCCGTTTGGCTCAAAAGCGAACCGATGAATTGCAATCTAACTGGAAAACTAATAAACATAAAATACTCAATGAAACACTGATCATAATCAAAACATCAGACCAACTCTGTGAGGTTTTTGCAGAATTTATGTCCTAAAATTAAAAAAGTTGTTTAACAAACTATCATTAAAATATCGACACAATTGACTATTTGTTACGAGGGACCAGTGCAGAGAAAGGGACAGCTGGGTGTGCGAGAAAGGATGGAGACGGCACAGCACAAGTTCATGAATCAATAACGTTGTCGGCACTTGTGCACATGCTTCTCTAACACCTGGCTGTCCCTTTCTCTGCACTCCTCCCTCGTAACAAATAGTGAATTGTGTCAAAATTTTACTGATAGTTTGTTAAACAACTTTTTTAATTTTAGAACAAATTCTGCAAAGAAATCACAGAGTTGGTCTGATGTTTTGATTATGATCAGTGTTTCATTGAGTATTATATGTTTATTAGTTTTCGAGTTAGATTGCAATTCATCGGTCCGCTTTTGAGCCAAACGGACTATAATTGTTTATTTAATCAAGCTTGCAGCCATCATGTCGACTTTCTCTATCAGAATGACCGATGTCTGTAGGTGCCGAGAATATTACAATGGTATCTGAAAGCTTATTTTATTCATACAGCTTAAAATAAATAGGATCGGCACCAGAATTCAAGGGTTGGTCGGGTAATCAGAACCACAACATTTTTTTTCAGACCTTACAGCGTCCGTCCGGGCTTGTTGGTCCCTGTCTGGTGCTCTGCATTAATAGGTACAACAAGGACTGGTCGGCTCGGAGTCAGTATGGTCTGAGTGGGGTATTCATGCTTAACGGCGGCATGGTGTCTCAGTGAGCCAGCACTATAAAACCAGCTTAAGTCTGGGCTAGTACAAGCAGCCCCACATACACACATGCACGTTGTTATATGAGCGAAATATTCTTAAGTACGACGTTAAACCCCATTTCACATCACCTCACGTCAGTGTTGCAGTCAAGAGTAATATATATTGCTAATTGTTTGGTCAGCATTCTAGATGTTGGCGAGTCAATGAAGAATACGACTTTATGGATAAGTACTTTTTGTTTATTGCATTTCCTTGTTTACTGTTGTTCTAACTCCCCACCTGGCCTCCTCCAATCACTTCCCTCTTGTTATTAGTTCCCTGTTTTGTGTCACAACATACAAAGTATTTACTTCTCATCACTCGATTGTATCACTTTTAAGTTGATAATGGTGTTAGAATCTTAGATGTTACGGTACCAGACAGGTAACTTAGATGTGCCTTTGCGAAAATTAGCGTGTCCATACCTTTTGATGATTCGAAATATCACAACAGTTATATCACTGATTTAAGAAACAATAAATTGAAATGACATATTATATATATAATATGTCATTTCAATTTATTGTTTCATCAATCAGTCAACATCACACGGCAAATCGTGAATCAAGCTGTCAAAATCATATCTGACCGTACTCACTACTTAAATTCGGAATACAACCTCCTCCCTTCAGGCCGCCGCTACAAAGTTCCAATTGTGAAAACTAAGAGAGCCTGTACATCCTTTATTCCAAGTACCATATCTCTCTTAAACAAATGTGAAGATACCTAAATCAAAGAATTTATGTAAATATGTTTGGTATCTCTCTAATGTGTCAGTAGCTCTGCTGATGTAACACAAATTCCTGAAAAGGCATTAAAGTATTATTCTATTCTATTCTAAACCTGTAAACTTGAGAGCTGGATTTCTTACACACTATCAAGACTGCAATAATAGTACAGCACCATTTGTTCTGGACTAACCCACAAAGTATGTTGTCATCCCAAACAGAATTTCCTGTTATGCCCACTGGCATTCAAAACGGCCACCCATGTTCAGCTGTGAGACTGAGAGTCCCACCGATAAACAGTTTCATGGGGTGCATAAACAGGTTTTAATTCATTTCAGTTTGTCAGATATATTTCTCAATTTCCTTTAAATAAATCATGTTGTGTGCACTTTTATAATTTCTCTTGTGCAGCTGGGGCACACTGAAGATTTTCATAAGTGCCATTTCAATATTACCATGCCACTGCAAGCATATTAAAAACTATTACGCAACAAGAATTTCCGAAATTCTCAGAATTAATGACACTAAAATAAAATTTTGAACAATATCATGATGTCTCCCTTGAATTTTCCTGTGAAAGGCATTTGTTTTGGAAGTCTACATACATCCCTGCAATAATATCAATACCAATGTGTACTTTCTGAGAGAAAGATAAACATACCAATTTGTGGTCAGTGATGCCATGTGTATTGATACTAAAATGGGGATATTTTGTGCCTTGTTGAGACTAAACAATGCTACTACGCATACTAGCTTTAATCAAAACAAAGGACTCACCAACTGATACAGCCTGTGAGTGTGACTGGTATGGGGTTGGGTAGGGGTAAGGGAGAGGAGGACCTGTGATTCCTAGAGAGCACATTAACAGGACCACGCCTTACCTGGATCTGGCTGCATCTCTGGCTCCCGAGAACATTGTCACCTCAAAGTCTTTCTCCACACTTGGAGCTGTGTCATCCATTGAGATTTGGGACAAATCCATCACTGCTGACCCATAGTCTGACGTAGAGATCCCATGAGCTGGCGAACCAAGGGAGTCAAAGCCAAAACACTTGTCCTTAACACCAACCCGAATATCGTCCTTCATGTTACTAGGTGTAGAAGTGTCTTTGGCTATGAGTCGGGGCACTTTCATGGGTGGTGGAGAAATAAAACATCCGCTGTCATTCTTTATAGAATCAATTCTTGGATTCTTGCTCTTTGAACTTATCTGTGGTGTGACATGTGGGGTTGAACCTGACATCTTCCTCTTACCCCTGTTCTCCACAGAACTGTTCATACTGGAATCAAGGCGACTAGCAGAGAGTATGGGCGACACTCCTGGTGTCTTCATGCCCTTGGGGCGCCTACTGGGCTTATTCTCGGCATCCGACTTTCCTTTACTTACAACAGGAGTCACTGAAACACTTTCCATTTTAGGAGATAGCTTACGTGGTTTACTAGCTTTAGAAGAGCTTGACTTTTTGTTGGAGGCTTGTATTCGTTTAGATGTTTTCTTCTTGACCTTTGATTGTTTGGGTGAGAGGATGCCTCTACCCGGTGGGTTGTCATTTTCGTCAAAGTCGTACATGTCACTGCTGGGAGAAGACATAGTCTGGTCGGAGCTGCTGGAGGACTCCATGGTGCTGTTTGTTGTCTCTCCATCTCCATCATAGGCAGAATCAATCTGAAGGAAAGTAGACTCCATTCAACACTACACGTGAGGTTATGTTACATACACAAACTGTCGGGGAATAATCCAGACATATCCTGTAAACATTCCAGCCCAGAATAAACAAACTGGTTTGAACTGACTCCGTTGACTCTTACCACAGGTACAGTATCTGGAATACTGATGAGCTATTGTGTATACCGGTAGATTATGGCAGGGTTTCTATGAACACATCTTGTATGAGCAATTCTATTGAAGAAGAGGAAAACCAAATGTCCAATAATTTGGCTCATTGTGCACATCTTATTTTAAAGGTCACATGCAACCAAAAAATCAAACATAATTAAAACACAATTATCACTTATTCATGACATATAATATACATTGCTGGTTATGAAAACACATATAAACAAAATTATAAGCGTACAATCACACATCAAAAGTGCAATATTGTGTACTTGGGTTTACTTCCCAAGAAACGAAGCAGCAAGGATACCGAACCCAGTCAGAGTGGGTGGGTGTGCACTGAAGTGCAACGGCTGGTTCCTTTTACAGATGCCCTCACGGCTCATTGTGTGTGTATATATAGAGATGTTGGGTTTTGTAAATACATGCTCACTTTTTTTGTATAACATTTTGCAATCAACAGACATCATAACATGTCATGTGTTCAAGTATCACACCTGCCTGTCTGTGTAATTACATAATGTGACAGAGACCGAACTCGGGCCATAAATCAATGCGTTTTGTTTATGGTGTATAGCCTGATTGGTGTCAAGTTCAAATTGCATGTGGTCAGTGATCGCAGTTGTGTATTGAATATTGTCATTGGCAGACAGGCAGGCAGGCAGACACACAGGTGTCAATAAAACAAGACATTGAGTTTTGTCTGTGACAACGACATATCTATATCACAGTTAGAAATTCTGTCAACGCTAAATAATGACATTGCTTTTAAGTATCGAACTGAGAAAGTGACTCGGTAAGAAGAACGTGTGGTGAAATAGACAAATGAAATAATATAAACAGTTTATTTACTGTCATAACATATAAAAAGCTCGCGCCTGTGAAATATAAAAAAAACATCAGGAAAATAGCTCACACCAAAGCCTTCACCGAGTATTCACCGGACAGCCCGCTTCCAAGTCGCGCGAACCTATTTCACTGCACACGTGCTATGAGCGCAGCCCAGCTGTTGAAACCAGTTTTCCCCGAAAAGTCGGGGGAAAATTAGTGAATCGTTTGAACTCCGATTTCTCGCGTGTTTTTTCATCGCGTTATTTTTCAACTTTATAAGTTGAATTTGCATTTTTGATGATTTGTTTCTGTAAGTCCATACCGAAAGGTATCAGAATCTGGAAAGTTGTGTTTTACGTTGCATGTGACCTTTAAGCATTCTTTGTCCACATACACAGATACATCTTCATTTCTCGGCCAACACAATTCTCAGTCCACAAAATCAATGAGGTTCTGTTCTGAAAATTTAAAACCATTGAGAGTATTACTAACTGACACATCCTAAACATTTTAGCTGTATGTTCTTCATTATCCAACTGCATTTTTAATGTCATTTTATACTCACCGAAGTGCAAGAATCTGAGTCTTGTTTCTGAAAACAAAACAACAAAACATGAGTGAAAGATTATAGATACATGTATACAGTGGAAACCGCCTAAGTAAAGACCGCTTAACTAAACAGACCTGATAAGTAAACACTTTTCTTTGGTCCCGGCAAATTTCTTCATTAATTATCACTATTAGAGTCTGGTTAACTAAACTCGGATAAGTAAACAATACTGCTTAACTAAACGTCTTCTCACGTTCCCTGGAAGTAAATTACTTAACAAAAGAGACTGGATAGCTAAATTAGCGTTCACCACATAATCCGACATGAGGGGCAGTCGTGTCAGTCTCTAGTCAAACAAACATCCTACTGGCGTCATGCAGTTGACAATACACTAACAACCGGAGGCCAGCCCTGATAAGTTGTTCATTGTTACATATGCATACATATGCATACATATACATGCATATGGTTGTCATTTGCAGGTTTTTATAAGTTTGGATAAGTAAAATACCTGATAAGTAAAAAATTTTGGCGAGTCCCTTGAAATTTTACTTATCAGGTTTCCACTGTATATAGATTACATACATCATCATGATGAAGCTGACAATGTTGGTATCCTCTACCGTCATAGCCTGACATAGTTGGTATCCTCTACCGTCATAGCCTGACATAGTTGGTATCCTCTACCGTCATAGCCTGACATAGTTGGTATCCTCTACCGTCATAGCCTGACATAGTTGGTATCCTCTACCGTCATAGCCTGACATAGTTGGTATCCTCTACCGTCATAGCCTGACATAGTTGGTATCCTCTACCGTCATAGCCTGACAATGTTGGTATCCTCTACCATAGTTGGTATCCTCTACCGTAGCCCTGACAATGTTGGTATCCTCTACCGTCATAGCCTGACATAGTTGGTATCCTCTACCGTCATAGCCTGACAATGTTGGTATCCTCTACCGTCATAGCCTGACATATGTTGGTATCCTCTACCGTCATAGCCTGACATAGTTGGTATCCTCTACCGTCATAGCCTGACATAGTTGGCAATTACCTATTGGAATGTATTTAGCATACTGGTGAGTTACCCTGCTAACACCATGAATGACATACTTGCTTGACAACGATAAAGAATCTGTATCGAAACGTCGCATCATCCGAATAAAGAAGTTGTTCATCCATAAAATTTGTCCTTATCTGATTCACCAACTTCTAAACATGCCACTCAAAGAAGATACCAGGAATGATACTAAATACACATGTCCAAAAAAATACACAAATACTGTAAATTGTGACAAAACATTTCAGAATCAAACAGTCTTTCATAGTAAAGTTTCAGTATGTCTAATTACATGTTTCTAACTTTTTAAGCTGATCAAGGAGGTTCCGCAAAATGTTACCCCTCAATAGTTTTGCTTTCATTTTATTAACCACGATGGATTCAACATATGGATGGTCAGACAGCTCACATTCTATATTCACCAGCTGTTAAATGTTCACGCTTGTGATATGGTATTGACAGTCTGCCCCTGACATGAACACTTCCTTTCCATCAGGTAGATTCTTCAGGTCTTTCTTTCATGTGTCAGTTTTTCAATATCAAATATCTTATAAACTCTACGGTAATTACTTTGACTGACAACCTTCTGGTTGCTATCGCCAACCCAACTGTGAGGCTGGTTTGTAACTAGCATCCTCATTGGGCTGTTAAACTGACCTTTGTAACTGATCAAATTGATCAAAGGCAGGTCAACAACCATGAGAATGGATACAAGGGTTAGTGAAGGTAGCAGAGGTATGTTAACATTCAACTTTACAATGCATTCACTGAAATAATGTGAAAATCAGCATTAAAACCTTTCTTTATATTGGCCTGGTTACAGTTATACATAACACCATGAAATGGGATATGTATGATATGAATTTGGGAATATTTTTGACATACTCTGCCAACTTAGGCTAAGTTTGGCCTGGTAGCAGGTCTAGTTAGGTTCCTGCTAGGTGAGGCCTATCACTGTACCTTAAGTCGTCTTGATCTTCTCTTGCTGTTGTTCACTGTACATTTCTTCTGCTTTTTCTCTGAATCACTTCCACTAGAACTTTCTGTACAAAACAAAATAACAGAATTGGAAACCATTATATTTTTAGAACCATCAATCATACTTAGTAACATGATTTCTACACTAACTTGAAACCTATTAGCCTTAAAACAAACAAAATTTTCCATTCCATCAGGCTCTCCACTATCATCAGGAACCACCTGGAATGAAGGAAACAGAGTTAAGGCCACCAAGTCTCACATCAGTCCCTGATTTAATAAATGGCAGTCTGACCTAACTCGTTCTTCATTTATTTTAACTTTGCATCTAGACAGGAGCTGAAGCATGTAAACCATTCTCAGATTGGTGTAGTTGATTTTAAAGTTAATAAATGTGTGTCATCCCTCAAGCATGTTTGCCATTTTGCATAACTCTGAAAGCCAGTTGCTTTCCTCTCAAATCAATGCAAATGTTGTTTGGGGAAACAGAAATTACACTCTTCTGGTTAGATTAGGTATGACTTCCGCCCGTATCCCCCCTAAATTTTAACGATGAGGAAAAATTTATTTGAGTGGCATTTTTAGAAGTTGGATATGTCATTCAGTATGTTCTGATACCATTATAGAAATATGTTAAAACTCATCCTTATCAGATGAGAAATATATATTCAGGTGATATGATTTGACTAGAATGAAATTTAAAGGGGGATACGGGCAGAAGTATTTCCTTAGATTAACCATATTAACCTATGTAATGTACACTGTCAGCTCAATTTTATGCATTGAAATGCATTTCAGGCACACTATCATGGCACAGTGTTAATGATTGCATGAGATGACGGATGAGCTGGGATGACAAACAATTACATTTCCATTTCAAGCATGGCTGTGGTGCAGGGTGATACCTCTTTGTGCAAATTCTTCTTCTTTTCAAGATATTTACGTATACAATTTACTGTTGATAGGCAATAAATTCATATTTTGCACGCATGATTCAATGACTTCGTGTTTTGACAGTTTCAGGGATATGGGTGTTTCTATCAACACCTATTCGTCGTATTCTCAGTTACATGTATACAGGTGAGACGCGATGGGCTTCAACTGTCTGTCAATTACACAACGCTACATCACTCTTGTCCGGCTCTCGGCTAGCCGCGATGGGGTCCTTCATGCGACATTTGGGACTTAACATCTCTATCCGACCAAGCCGAGAGTCCCGATTTCCCTTCTAGGGCGTAAGATCTACACTTATTTGGCAGAATATGCAATGCCTTGTCACCATTCTTCCCTCATTTTGCGCAATAAGGACACGTTTGGAAACCAGAATAGACAGTCGGCGGACAAAATGAATTCGTCCAAAATGTGCAAACAAAATATGCAGTTTTATCGTATGTACTGTCTATCACAACAATTATGCACCTGATAACATGACTGTTTCGCTGGATCGGACTCGTCTATTACCGCGCTTAGGCGCCATAATGAATATATTTGTTTCCCTTGGTGAGCTTCTATCTTCTTCTGTTTTCCAACTTGGCGGGCCTCCGTTCAAAGAGGAACCAATCACATCGTGCCAATGAGCAAGTGTGTGGTGCTGCCATCTAGTCGTTAAGGGGTGGGTAACTCTTGATGGCGTGGTGTTACCTCCCTTAGACCAACATTAATTTCACAATGACAAACTTTGTTTTTGGGGTCATTTTGTTCTGTAATCATTATTACGCTTTCATTATTTGTTTTAAACAGAATGTGTGTGTATACTTACATAAAGTTAACCTAATAATCTGCTTTCTTTTTCAAGCCAACAAAAAGTCAGACATGTCGGCAAAAGTAATTTGAAGTTAGATCTAATTAATAAAACTTACTTGGGTTTTGATGTGGACACTCTAAAAGTATTTCTTATATTCATATAAACACAGACATAGGAAAAAATTGAATCACAATTTATTGAAATAAAACTACAATAATAACATACATAAATATGGTATGCCTTATTCATTTACACAAGATAATATGAAAATGACCAGTTCTTGAGAAAATAGTACATGTAATTTTTTTTTAAATAAGACATGAGAAAATATATGTCATACATGTTAATGCCATAGTTACTATAAACATAGAAGCATTAACAGGGAGAAATACACCAATACATAGTGATCCTACAGTCCATGATATAACAACCATTACAAATATACTGGCACTGATTATCAGTGTACTCAAAACTGATGATGACTACAAAAATCATGCTTCAGTCTGGCTATGTCATGTTATTCTTTAAAGAAAATCAAGCTTAAGTCTTAAGTCAACAAATGTACAAATCCCATAACCTTATTATTAATTTTTTCTGTTAATGGTTCAGTTGACCCAAAATTCAGAAATATTGAAAGAATATATAATTGTCTGAGTTGGCATTTCTTTGTTTTGCAGACATTCCCTGTCCAAATTAGATGAGTAGTGTAAGTTCCATGATTGATAATTATTTTCTGAAATATTTCACACATTAAAATTATTCCCTGGTACTCAGGCAGTTCATATGTCATCTTGTCCCATGTGAATGATAAGACTGTTTGACTTCTGGTAATCTTTATTTCAGCTGACGTATAGGGTAAAAGTTGCATTTGTGATGTTTTAATATGAATTATTAAGTGTCAGCATGCAAATAGGACTGGCTTTATAACATGCTACATGCATGTGATTTATTGAAGACTCGCACTTACAGTCCAAATATATGATGACCATGGTAACAACGAAATCTTTCTGAAATAATGAATGCAATATACTTTGTGATAAGAATCCTAGACTGCAACATGTATACTGTTTCACCTCTTACATCATGGAACTGTGGAACCAAAATGGAATGGTAACAAAGTGAGTTGACTGATTGCTTTATCAGCTGCCTGTAGACAAATAATGAACATTCCCCATGCTTGTAAGTTAATAACCAGGGTAACCAATGAAAAAATATTTTTTCAAAAGATCCCAAAATAATTTATTTTTACAGGTAGGACATAACTTGTAATGCTGCTGTTGATCACACACTGATAATTACTTACAGATGTCATTGTGAACAGTCACGTATTTTCCCCATGTATGATATCTCCGTTCTCCTGTGACATATAACCTGTTATTAGTCTCCCGTAGAAGATACTGCAGTGTAATATTTTTATGGCAATATTACACTAGTGTAATACCGCTAGACATATGACGTCATAATGGTTACAGTTATGACGTCACAATGCTAATGCCTCTGTCGCAATGGTATTAGACCTTGTGTGACTCGCGGAAAATTGATATAAGAGTCATCACACTGTAGGCAGTTTCTATCAATTTATGTTGGAGAGTAATAAACAGAATACTAAATTCGCTTCCATGAAATACCATTTTTGTTAAACTCATGAAAGATTGAGTATCAAACAAGCGAAAGCGAGTTTGATACCAAATCATTAACTCATTTAATAAAATTGGTATTACACAGAAGGTTGTTTAGTATCCTTAATGACCTATTCACCACTGTTTGGGAAGCAAGCTCACCATCTCTCCTCTCTAGTCACAACTGAACTCTAAAATGATTCTAACGAAAATTCATAGATATAATTTCAAACTGAGTTTTGCATACCCATGATGCATCTTGTTGAAATCAGAAGACAGCCATAGATCGTACGGTATTGCTGTGTAAATGAGTTTTAGATTGGTCAAAGGAAGTTTCTTTGAGTGGCATTTTAGAAGTTGGGAAGTACAATATAGAACAAACTTTATGGATAATAACTTCTTTTTATTTGTGAGTGCTACGTTTCGATACAGATTCTTGTACCATTGTCAATGAGTTTCGATATAGATTCTTGTACCGTTGTCAATGCTTGACAACGGTTCAAGAATCTGTATCGAAACATCGCACTAACGAATAAAAAGGAATTGTTATCCATAAAGTTTGTTCTATATTGCAAAGGAAGTTGTTTACCCATGAGATTTCTAAGATTTATTGGGAGACCTGGTGATGTTTCCACCTGTTTGAGTCAAGAAAGAACAGGGAAAATTTGATAAGAACTATTATTGGCATCATGTCTTTCAAACTGGACATATGAACTTGAACAACATCATCCATATGATTTCAAAAGGAGTCGTCCTCATGACTGAATAACATCCACAAACATTACCCTTGTATGGGCAATGTATGGCAGTTATAACATCCATTGTCTGTCAATTAAGGTTCATTTTAAGGCTTTAAATAGCAGTAATATGATCATAGTTGCTGTAAATCATTTGAGTTGGTGCTGTCAACATATATGGTAAACAGAACCCTATGGAACAGGATAGACGGAAGATGGAAGTATCGGAGGGACACATGATTTTTAAAAATTATTGTAAATAATATTCAATGAAAGTTTAAAAAATCTATTAAACCCTAAGTCAAGGAGGGATACAATGAACACTTTCTACTACAACATAGTGTAACAGTAGGATTAACTTGCATTATTCAATACAGATTTATTGATATTCTATTTCTGGTTAAGAATCATGAGGATTGACTGATCACTGGCTTTGTACAGATGCAGTTATCAGTTGCTACGATAATCTACTGAGGAGAAAAACAGTTATTTGCTAACATTTAGTTATCTCAAATATTCAATCATTCATTAAATATATGCATGATTACAAACAAACATACTAATTATATGTCAACAAAAGAGGCTTAATGTGAGATTACTGACGCCCAAATGCATCACAAAGGTACTAGTACATGTATTCCTGGTGAAAAGAGATCAATCAATACAACTAGTCAATTATTCATTTGCTTGAATAAAACAAAACATATTTCAATGTTACTTTCTAGCTAATGTGGTCAGGTGGATTAAGTTACACAGATTTCTGTTGCAGCTAGAAAATGTTCCCAACAGGGAACAGATGTAATGATTTCCGATTCAAACAAGTACATCCATGGGTAGACAGAATACTGAACGTCTCAGGAATTACAGAAGGACCATCTTGAGCCCCTTGTTCAAACCCACATTCCCAGTTGAAGCTGCAGGAATTCTTCCTCTAATTAGGATAGGTTGTTGCATAATAAGTGTAAAATGAAAAGAATCTCAGCAGAAAATAAACCTAGCTGCCTTAATGTCCTTGGCAATAGTGTTTTTTGCTGACTGAGCATTTTATACCTTGAAAAGTTGTATGTCTTAAACCTGATATATACAAACATCTGTGACAAAGAAGTGAATGGGTGAGTAAGTGAGTGTGCAGCTCTTATTTCAGGCATATGTATCTCCAGAGGTATGATCCATGTAGGGATGAACTCTGAGACTTGGTGTGACCAACCATCACTTCACCAAGTAGGCAAACAGATGACTATGAATATCAAACATCTACAGGGCTAAATACACATACTCCAGCAAGATTGATATGGCTGACAGGTGATGAGATGTCTCAAACAAACATCAGTGTTAGAGCTCTTGGATACATTTGGGACGATCCACATCCTCATTCTGGCTTCCCATAGGAGCCTCCTAAAATCCACTTGATGATCAAGTATGCCTAAGCCACTGATGTAGAAAACAAAGAAATAAGACTCTATTTTCAGTTTTTCATAAGTCAAACTTGTCCTGAATTCATAGTCTTCAAACTGAAGTCTGTCGGTAGTTGGTTGTGTCTATGATCTTCTTGCCACACATGGCACAGATTCCCTTCTTATAGGCACACCCTGCAAAGGAGAAGGTAACTGTAGTGATTTCACTGCTGGTTACAGTATCAATAATCTTTAAGCATGAGGTATATAGGTCAGTGTACATTGGACTGGTAACATGATGACAAATGTCCTGAGGGAGTCGGTAAATTCTAATACGATATTCACCATGTTCACGATGTTGGCAGCAGTCTAATGTTTTCACAGATGCAAGTAAACATGCACATCTTTGCATCACCGGAATAAAGAAGTTGTTCATCCATAAAGTTTGTCCTTACCCATGTGATTCTGGCATTATTGCCACATTGCTGTGTAAAGTATTACCCACCTTGACAGTAGTGAGAGCCAGGCTGGTGGACGATGGATTTGCAGATCCGGCACTTGTCAAATCCTGTAGAATAGGGGTTGAACCTGAAACACAAAACGTCCCATTTATCTGGGGGACTATAACACACTACATGATAAGGACTGGCTAAAATTTGTGTGGTCCTGTGCATAGAGCTCAGGTCACAAATCAGATAAAGTTAAGCATTCTTGAGCATGGAGAGTCCTTGGATGGGTGACCGTGTTTGGCAGCTTGACTCCTGAGAGTTCCTTGGACTTTCTAGGAGTATTGCGTGGTATAAGTACCCTCATTATTATCATAAAATGATTGATAATCAGAAATAGGAAAAATATTTATGATTATCGATATGAAAATTGTGTACAGGTGAATTTTGCATTAATGATGTCCACAGCTGCCATAGTAATATACCTGTTTTTCTTTGCTGTCAAAGCTTTATTCTCTCCAACTTTGCGGCCGCCTCCTTCGGTTGTGTTTCGTGCCCCAGACTTCCAGGGATCAGGAGTTATCACCTTTCCCAGCTTCTTTTGGCCTGAAGTCAAACATTAGATACTCATGACATGA